AACCTGATTTTTGGCGGTTTTCAGCAATAACTTTTCTTTTATCAAATCTACTGCTTATTTAACATGGCCCCTATTCGGACATGGATATGTTACCATCAACTACACATAATTGCCGATTCCGTAAATCGAGATGACTGTCAGTAATAACGAAGTTAGAGCAAAAGTATGTGACTGACAGACTGTCGTATGCTGATCTCAGATCACGTTCTTAATTTCCAACCCCCGTCATTCCTCGACACGCATTTCTCTTTTTGAGATTGTTATCCGATTGTAAAATGAGATATGAGAACGTAGCTATCCATGTTTCCAATTAAATACGTTCAGCTATATAGATAATGCCAGAAGTGAATGTTTTGCATGATGGAGCTCAATGTAATTGAAAAATCGATACATCTTATTCAGTACACGAGTTACGTGATATATTATTGCCAAATAATGTATTTCGGAGAAAAAACAAGTATTATGGTGCTTTCGATGTCAACGATTTTCCACTAATTTCACCTCTGTAACGTCCCGTTATCATGATTATTGATGTGCATATACATACGTAGGCACTTTTTGGTAGAAGATGATTAATCGATGAAGCAATTATAGAACAGTGATATTGGTCAGTAGTGTTAGATAGGTTTTAGCACGTACATAGTATGACAACTAGCGGTAAACAAGTAAATTGTAGACATAAGAAGGCAATTAAATGAATTAATAAATCAGAAACTATTATATCAAGTTGTCAATTCAGCAATAACTAAGACAACTCAGAATAGAAGTACGTGTATAGTATCGGAGCGTCCCAGATCTGTGGCTTTAAATTGATTCATCAAGAGATTTAAATGACACAACGACTCCATGCATATCATTATACCCACAATAATCAGGATTTCAATTCAATTATGTATTATAAAAACAGAACTCAAATATATCTATATAACCAATTGATGATTTCTGAAAATATATTTGAACGATGAATTCAAAATGTGTCAGCGGCGTCCAGACTTACATGTAGACTACGTGCATCCTTCGCTCAGAATTTATATATTTATGCAGCAATGTTCGTAGGTAATTGACGTCATCACACAGATTCAGTCATCAAAAGTCATTAATCAAATTCCTTTCTGACTTTTTTAAAATATAAGTTGTCATTAAAAGTGATTGTATGTGTAATTTAACCCTATCAAAATATGGTTTAATGCGAACAAATATGAAGCAGTTATGATGTGTCGCCATTATTCTGTCTCGACAAATTACCTAGTCGGTGATTTAGCCGAACATAAGACGAGAATGTCGGGATTCTTTTTCTCGTCGAAGAATTCCAGGTAATTGTATAAAAATACTCTTATAGTGTCACATGGATTTCCACTTCCATTATACGACTCAAAACATCAACTCTGTATTTAAGTAAACCAGTCATCAACTAGAACCCTGAAATATTTACCGCAATTCGTAATTCTTTCGACAGAAACTTCAAACAGTTTTATAACTACATGTATAGTATTTGTTATACATTTAGCGATAGACCCTTTAGGGTCTATGATTTAGCTCAGGAAATAACACTGTTCTAACAAACAAACAAACAAACCAGGGTCAAATAGTAAGAACGATAGCGAGAATATTGTTAATGCGCATGCCCGTCTTGTCATTGTAAGATCGCATTCACTACGCGCTATTTTGATGCCGTGGTTTTTCGGAAAGTGCGAAGTGGCATAACGAATAGCGCTTCTGCTTACAACTTTTGCTAAGTTGCGAGTTCGAATCTCGTTCATGTTTATGTTTATATATGCTTAATTGTTATATTTACATTAGCCCTTAGTCGCAACTTTGACGCAATTGTTGAGTGTAAGAAAGCCATTGTTTCGAATACCGTGGATACATGGGTCTATGTTTCTGTTTCAACATATATATATATTCCATTAGTTTCAGACAATGAATACATCATATACAAGATGATGTAGTGGCGTACTCGTATTATACATTGCTTTGTGCATCTTTTGATCGTAGTTGAACATGATGAAAACTACGGAATCAGCCGGAGTCAAAGTTATTGTGCATGTGCATCATCACAAACGAATGAGTTTTCCAGAGAATGATGATTAGTTGTCGGATTTACCTGTCCAGGTAAAAACAGCGGGCATTATCATTGACAACGAATGACTAGTTCCATACAACTCAAAATCCATACTAATTTGTACATTTGGTGCGGAAAACAACAGTGAAGTCTTCAAGGCAAGAAAATACAAGAATATTGTATATCAATACAATTTTTTTCCAGCCATATTTATTGGATTGGAAAGCTTTTTAACTAAGTGAGATTTACACAATGAATGAATACAGAAAACCTAAAATAATGCACAAGTGTTAAAAGATAATTAAACACTAAATATGAGAAGAAAGCTATCTATTATCCGACCTGTTTAATATTTATAACACAGTTATTTGTGATTATTTCTTCAGCTGCCAATGAAAGACACCGCGATTGTGCCATTTTTTCAATCTATATCATTTCCCTGAGTGGTAATTAGTGTCACAGAACAAAACAGAAAACTATTTAAATTATGATCGCTCAGTGCATATAAAATCCCATAATTAAACATTCATTTATAATTATATCACCAACTCATTTTTCTTTTCAACTCACATGCCATTAAATATTATATATTTTTATTTCCGAACTAAACAAATTTGATTAGCGTTCTATTTTATACATTAGGCATCCATGACATGGCTTTTACTTATGCCTAAATTCCATATTTACTCAACACGACATGTATCTATTGTTTGTACAGTATATTGACCTTTGCACAAATTGATTTTGTTTTAATAATAACGTACACAATATTGAAGTTCATATTTTTAATTTGATTTGTGTTATTTTTATGATTAAGCAAAAATCTAAATGAAAAAATAAAATGACGTTCAAGACATACGACGACAAATATATATATATACCCCGTATGTAGACTTGGTTACTATTAATATTTTATTTACGGTTACGAACATAAAAACACACCATTAACAGTATTTACCAATTCAATGAAAACTAATAACTTGCTAATGTTTTTTTTTTCAAACAATGAGTTAATGGATCTGTGACGTCATTGTTTTCTCTTTTTATTCAGATTAATTTTAGTGAAAATGCTTTTATCTATTCCATTATGTTTCACGATGCACTCTGACTATAACAGTAAAAGTTATACAAAGATTAAATAATTTGTGTGGAATTGTTCAGAATTCTTGCAAATAACACAGTTTCAGTTAACCGTTTATAATGTGGTATAATGCAAAGCAAACTTGAATAAGGATTAAATTAACACGACTTAACGAGCAAGTTCAATTCAACTAAGTTGGGTTGGGCAAGACTGGTTACGAACTACAGTGGCCCCTCGCTAAGTCATGGGTGGCGGGATCCAAGCAAAAACCGCGACTTATCGAGGGCAGCTGCTGAAAACTGCCAAAAATCGGATTGCTGTGGACACACTAAAAATAAGTTCTAAACAAACTGAACATATATTGTAAGATATATTGGTTAAATGTTTCATAGATATCAAGAATGTCTCCTTATGCTTCATACAGTGTCATTTCTATTCTCCAAAAACAATGTTTTCCGATATTATGTGGGTCGTTTGCTGTTGCTTGCGACTTCGAAGGTAACAGCTTCCAAGATAAACCAGTTTCATCGCAATTATAAACTTGTTCGTCAAAATTTATAGATAATTTCTCTTTTTAGTTTTTCGGAAAAAGTTCTGACAGCGTCCATGTTCACAGATCGAGCTTCGCCTTGGATTGAGACTGCGTGTATCGATAGCGTGTCTTCTTTGCCATCGCAAGAACCACCCTGAACTGGCCTCAAATTCAAAGTCGTCATATCTGAGTTGTGTGCTTTGCATTGGGTGATGGGACCAGAGAGTGGAGTTCCGGCAGACCGTTCTTGAAGAAACGTAAACACCTTTATCGATGCCATCATTGTCAGACAATTTTGCACGTTTTTCTGTTCAGTCCCGCCTCTTGGTCAACTTTGAAAACATATTTACTTTTCATTTTTTACCCACCTTGAGTAAGGCCGCCGTCACCCATTGCATCTCAGCAATTGACGGACAGTAGGTGTTAAGTTGTCTCTTTAACGGTTAGTTAAAAACACTATGCCATGAAACATTAGTCTTTGTACTTCAAAACGGCTGTCAAAACACAATAGAAATTTTGGGAGCCATCCAAGTACCCGCGACTTAGCCGAATCGCGACTTACCGAGCGCGACTTAGCGAGGGGTCACTGTATTAACAGAGAGTTTACACTTGGTTCGCCTCGCTCAACTGGTTCGTAACCAGTCTTGTGATTGGTTCTTGACACATTCTGAATAGGTCACGCCTCCAACTGTGCCGCGCATTCCGTTGACCGTTATACTATTCGTAAATGTAGTCAATTTGTCTAGCTTTCTTGATTTAATCTACTGATATCGGTAAAATATAGGCAAGGATTTGGCGAAATTTAACAGAGCAGCTAATATTCTTCAAGCCGATATTTTTTATAGATTTTATTTTTCATTCTTTTCGTCTGTTTTTCCCAGTTTAAAACAATATGGGCTCGCTTGAGCCTTCTAGCTGATACCCCTCTCCCACTCATAGAGATTGCGTACAGTTGAATATAGTTCCTGGGCTCCCTCTGGATAAAATTCACGTATAACGTCCTATGAGACTGTGACGAATGGAGTGACTGACAGGAGCCGTGCATTATCAGAGGCAGATTCATTATTTAATTTTATGGTCATTTCACCGATGTCAATCATTTTTGCAATTGAATACCGTATTTCAAAACACTGGTCAGGTGTTTCGATCGATCTCACTATCACCATTAACAATAACACGCAATGCATCATGGTAAAATATCTCTCGCAAATCAGATCATTGGTAGACCGACACAAGCTTACGAGGTTCTGATTTCTCTCGGACCTTCTCGGTACATTTTTTTAAAAGTCTACCACAATTTTAAAAAAACTGACACAAAGCCTAAAATGACTGACAACAAGCTGGAAACGCCCATCAGGGGAACATTTTGTGGACTTGTACAAAACCAGATGTCGAACACGACTGCTCACGGAGTTCCACGAATCGAGTCATCGACGAATCTATTACGGAGACTATATTGGGTGGTCGTCTTCTTGGGCGGAGTGTCTCTCTTTCTTTGGCAGTGCTCGACAATCATTTCAAAATTCTACGACCGAGAAACGACTGTTAATATCGACATGAAGTTCAAGCCAATGTTATCTTTCCCAGCTGTAACTATTTGTAATTTAAATCCCGTCAAGGTGAGCGCGTTGCTACATGACCAGAATCTGCGTGATGTTTTTGGATATCCCAAATCTGAGGGCGAATCCGATGACGGATCTGGAGAATCTGGAATAAAACGCCGTAAAAGAGGTGGTGAAGCTTCTCAGGTAACATTCATTATTCACTATATATTGATATAAAACGCGCTCTCTTAATTGTGAATATAAGTTACTATATACTATATTTTCAATTATACCTAATCGGTGATTTGTGTAGCATTTACAGACTTGCCTCGCGCACCGGACAACGGATACCTTATCAGAAATGTCGCTTTAACAAGTCAACATCGCGAATTAATTAATTAACACAAGCGCGGACGCGTTTGACAGTCAATCGTAACAAAGCACTTTTTCTATTAAAAAAAGGGACGAAATTAAATCAGTTCAAATTACATTTTGTCGCAAAGTATAAGTTGAGCGCTATACATTAGGTTGTTAAATATTTTCTACATCTCTCAGCCATACCTACTCACCGTCTTGCTCACCATTGGTGTCTTTTCGAGAAATTACAAGCGGACAATTGACATGTATATTGGGAGACATGGCTAAGCTGAGGAGTAGGTGATATTGAATATTGTATTTCAGTGAGTTTAAAGTTGTCACATGGCATGAGCAGTAGAATACAGCAATGTGTTCATGAGAGTCTAATTAAATTTAGAATATCGAAACGCAGTTGTTTATTCATACTGACAAATAATAAAAAAACGATATAATTTGTATATTCTGCACCGATAGCAAAGTTGCAGATCAATTTCATTTTTGTCTGGTATGTCCTTTCTATAAAGAGTTAAGATGCCAATATATCCCGAGTTTTTTACGACACTATCAACAAGAGACACATTTGTATAATTTTTCTGCTCAAACTGTGCATGTTTAAGATTAAATGTCTTTTAAAATTTGTGTTTCTATACAACAAGGGAACGCAGTGCATATAATTATAAACTATAATTTACGATGTGATTTTTCTGCTTCCCACTTGTCGGGCAATCAGTTAGCCCTCCATGTCTGTCTATTAGTTGTTTTTACTTTACTGTACTTACGATGGCCTCTGAACCTTGAATAGATGCAATTAGTATTTCTAATACTAAATTTGTTTTGGTGTATTGCCATGTTTCAATTCAGGAGGATCGAACGACAACTCATGTATGTACGGTCGATTTGCGTAAAACCGTCACAATGAAGCGAAACTCGAACTCATGCGCCCTCTACTGACAAAGTATTGTTGAAGCGTATGGTGAAAGAAGGTTGTCGTTATTACTGATGTGATTTATCATTAAACAAAATTAAAAAGCGTTGTTGCATTTTAAATAACGAACATATACATGTTCAATCAAAGTCGCTATAAATGGCATAAACTCGTCCATTAATTGTCTCGGGGTTCGTTGCGCAACAGTAACACATCGGCTGAATGTTGTATGGTTCAGGACATTGCTTTCACAAAACTACGTCGGTCACAGCGCGCCACTCTATCGCTACTGGGCTACTGGACTTGGTTGAGTGACACATCCAGTGTGTTTAAATTGATTGTTGTATCATCGTCTGCTCCAATGCAATGTTTCCATACTAAGCACGGTGAGTATAATCCGTAGGTACAGAAACACAAAACCTGGACTACTTCTCAAATACGGCACCACAGTTGTCGTGCAGTACGTTCAAATTTGTGTGTGATTTACACGAAATTTATACGTCGTATTGGACCCATAGCGAGCACGATGCAGTACGACGACTGCATTAAAGGACGACTACCATTCCCGAGATCAAACGAGACAATAATTGTATTAGTTATATAAAAAAATAATTATGGAGATGGGTGTCAACTAGGTGTGTTGTGTTGTTGAATAACATAATATGAATAAGACCAAAATATTCACTCGTACGCGATGGTCGTCGCGCCGCGTCCTGTTCTATACGGGACTCCTAGCGACGTACGAAACGCGTACATTGAAATTTGAACACGCGCTACGCGACAATCATCCCTTTTAAAAGTATTGTCAAGCTACGACACATCGTGATCGATCCATAATTTCACTCTTCATCAAGGATATCCCAAGAGAGTATATATTATTTGACACTAATGACCACTCTATTTAAATTAGTGGAACAGCATTTTTTAATTTAATTGGAATCAGTTAAAATGATTCACTTCATAAATATACAATCGAACATTAGTGAGTGTATTAGCCAGCACACCTATGTCGGAGGCTCTAAGAATTCACCTCGGAGCGCCCCCGTCCATATAAATCTGCTGTTCAAATATTTCAAATATCAAAATGTGTACTGCTGACAGTGTAATCGATTGCACAGCGCCACCAATGGGTGGAATATTATATAGTATGCTGATCACATCAATACAGATCACCAACGAGAACGTTTCAGCATACTGATTATTGCCTCCAACAACAGTGAATAGAAATGCCTGATACAGTACACAACCAATTGTCTTATTTTAACAGAAAAATGAAACAACTAGACTCACTTTTCACCAGTTTCGTCAATCCAGATTTCTCCAAAATGTTGTTTTCGGTGTAAAAAATGGAAGAAGAACGATTCTGGTCTTTCGTCGAAAACGCAAAGGCCCGTGGGCAGACGCTTGTTCGTAAACAACGACACGCTATGGCCGTCTTTACGTGAAATGAGACAACATCCTTGAGAACATTGCAGACATCGTCAGAATCTTTTATTTTATGCTATATTCATTCGGATATTAGAGACAGATCTGGAATGTACTTGAGAATATAACGTTAATGGCGCTATTTAATTAATTGCATATTAATTGCATATTACTGCGTTGATTTATACACTAACACCTTGCATGCATAATGCAAATCGAAATCTAGAACTCTACTGATTGGAAACAATTAATAACCCTTAATTGTATTGTCTTTATTCCAGTCCCCTGATGCTACCCCACCCACCCTCCAAGACAATTCCACTGCCAATCCAATTGAAGCAATAACTAACAAAGAGTTCACCATGCCGTACAAAGCCACGACGGATACTGGAACTACGGCGGACTATAGTAGGAACTGGGAAAGTAAACATGTGGCGTTCAACGAAAAACGCGAAGGATTTAAACTAAGAGAAAAAGTACAGAATTATATGGCATCAAAGGACTACGAAGACCGGTCTGCATATGGTCACAGTCTCAACGATTTACTGTTCGATTGTACGTGGAAGGGATACTCTTGCAGTCCAAGGTATTAAACACATGCACATTATAATGTGGTGTGATGTGATGTCATGTAGTTTTTTTTCTCTTTACACAATTTTATTTCATTTGATTACAAACACTACAGTAAACATTAATTACATAATACAAAACGACAAGGACAAGCAAAACAAAGAGTAAAAAAACAAAAAACAAAAACAAAATACTTGCTAATACACTGCAATCAAAAAAATTTACACACTATCAGAGATAATAGACCACTTCCGTAAATGTAATTCCAATTTGTTTTTAGATATAGCTATATGCTTTTCAATCTCGCATGCTTCAGTTACCACTTTATGAAAATAATACATCACTCGGTATACTCTTACTCATTTTACAATTATAAATGTAT